GCTAATAATTGGAATAAGAACACATAATGTTTATAAAATGACATATCATGGTTAGTAGAGGCTGATCTTTGATCGGGCGAGCAGGGGTGCTCATTTCATGACCTTCCCCTCTCGTACCTAAGCTCCCGAGCTGAGGCAACTTTGGTGATGACAGATACGTGGCCTTTGGCATGAGTCAGGGTTTCCTAAATTTTTCCGAAAATAAAATATTTAGATGGCGACTCTGTATCTGGCAAAGCAGTCCAATTTTGACATTATTTGATTTAAAATCGATTTTTTCAAAAAAGTTTGTTAGATTTGGACTCTTTGGTGATTATCAGGGTCATATTGCACTTTGTGAGACTAGATTTAGAACCGCATGAGTTTGAACTCTGAGGCCTTTCTTTTCAAAACCCTTTCCGAAAGGTGGGGCGCGGAAAAAAGGTGAGTCCACAACACCGTCTAAACTAGCTCTCTTCCGCAAGAAGTACCATATTCCCAAAGATGTTACACTAGTGTTAGGGGGGTTACACACACTTCGAACTCTAACCAATGACACTGTGCCTTTTCCTGTAGGAGCCATCGTAGAAGGGGGAGTTAGGTTCCCTTTGGACCTTTTGTGGCTCAAATTCTTCCATTACTTCAAACTCCACCCCATGGAGATAGCCATGAATACTTTTAGGGTTGTAAGTGGCTTCGTAGCCCTTAACAAATTGCTTGGCCTTAATTTAGGAGTATGGGACATACTCTATTGTTACAACCTTTCTCACCACCTAGGTGGCACCTTCTACCTTAGAGTTCGGTCCGATGTCCCTAAATGATCTTAGACCTTCCTGGTTCTGATACGCATTCGAAAGATTTGTTCACGGCAGAACGAAATATCGAGTATCCTGCCGATATAGAGGACCAACCAACGCGAATATGTCGTGAAGGTGGTGGTCCAGGTTAGCTTTTGTCCTTTACGCTTTACTTTTATACTTTTGGTGTTGACTTTTAATTTTTGTTGTATGACTTCGACAGGTGATTCCCGGACGAGGAGGCGGACTACCAAAGAACATCTGGCCAACCTTGAGATTGCCTTTGCCTACCCCTACCGATCTGTAACAAAATTGCTTAATTACAAAGCCACTTACAAGCACAAGCTTAATAAGTGGAAGGTTCGTGTAATTGACTACTTTAGGAAGTCTCCAGAGAGGTTGTTGGAGCAGCAAGCTTGTGATAACACTGGTGTTTCTACTTCCGCCACTGCTCGGTCATCAAGTGGAACTACGAGTGGGGCCCCTCGTCACGACGACCAAGAAGGCATGACTCGCCGAAAGCTTGACCTTGCAGCTCTTTCTTACGGCACAGATCCTGTTCCTAAAGCAGCTACTATGACCATTCGGCCGGCTGACCAAAGAGTCTTGGTTCCAAAACAGTCCGTACAGACTTCCAAGGAAGTTCCTTCTCCTACTCCACATAGTACAACACATACTGAAGAACTGAGGGGCTCCAAGAGGAAAAGGAGTAAAGGAAAGGACGTTGTAGAGGGCTCTGACGAGCAAACTTTGGCGGAGGAGTGGCTGTCTCCCTTAGAGTATAAAAGTCGGCCTATCATTGTGGCTGACAGCGTGACAGATTCTTGTGATTTGGCATTCCATCTGTCCAAGACATTACTCCTACCCTTGGACATGGTCAAGTGTAATGTAGATTCTGAATCTCTAATCAAAGGATCTATTCAAATGGTGACCGCAGTAAGTATTCCTCTCCTGATTTGATTCCTTTCTTGTTGTTTTTCAATAAACTTCTCTAAGTGTTTTATTTTGGTTCTTGATAGTTGGCACAGCGGCTTCATGTTCTGGAGCAGCGTCGCCTGGAGCAAGTAACAGACTTCAACTGAACTATGCAGTTATTATCTGACGCCGACCTTGCTCTGAAGTCAGCCGAAGCAGAACGGATAAAAGCCGAAGAGGAGGCTGCCACTGCTAGGGTGTCAGCCATTGCCAAGGAGAAAACGTTGTTGGAGACTGAGAAAATTGCTATGGTGGCTCTAGCTGCCAACAAAGAGGTCGAACAGAGAAAGCTGAAGTGGAGGCCGAGCTGGAGGCAATGAAGGCCAACCAAGCTAAACTTATTGAAGAGGCCATCCAGAAGGGTTGGGATTAGGCTGAAGCAGATTATGCCCAACAAATGCTGGAACTGAGGGATGGCTTATTTGCCAAGGGTTGGACAAGGGACCTTCGTGCTATTGGAACTGAGGAGACTTCTGCTTTCTTCAAGGACATCCCTGTTCCATCTAAGACTGTTACTGCAAGGGCTACTAAAGTAAATGAGACGTTAGTGGCTGAGACTTCGGAGGCCACCCTTTCTGTTTCCTCTCTTTGGGGTTGTTTGGGGTGTCCTAAATAAGTGCACTTTTTGTCTTTTTGGACTAAAAAATTGAGGTTGAAAATATGGATGTTTGGGTTAACGTTTTGACTTTTTATGAAAAAATGTGTAATAAAAAATTGTAAAAATTGATTTGTAGGAAAAAATTCAAATTGGGAGTTGTGCAGCCGTAATTGTTGACTTTTGGTGAATAGTGTTAACTTTTTAACTTTTTGAGTAACTTTTTGACTTCTTGGCTTTTTTACAAGTTCCCAAACTTGGCCTTCGTCTGTCGAGCGTTATTTCTAAATGAGCAAGAGTAGCCTTGTGATGAGGCTTGAAAGCCCTTTACTTATTTTCTGCATTTCGTCACTTTTTTTTTTTTGTGCAAGTGTTGGAGTTCGGCTAGTTAGACATCGTCGTTTTGCAAAGCTGAGCTCCTCTTTTTGTAATAGATGCTTTATAGTAATGCCATGTTTTGTTGCATTTTTGTATGTCTTGAACTTCAATTTTTAATTTTTGCTTGTATGTGTTATGCTTGCCCCCGGCCGAGCAGGGGCTTTCTAAAGAAGGAGGCCTCCTGTTCGGTTTGAATAGGCTCCATGCTGTAGAAAAATTGGAAGAAATAACTTTTGATGCCCCCAATCCGAGCAGAGACGTCGTAGGAAAGGAGGCTATTTGTTCGATAAAACTAGGCTTTGTGCCTTAGAAAAATTTGAGGAAAGAATTTTCCATGCCCCCAGCCGAGCAGAGGCTCTGAGACTATATAGGGCGTCTAATCGGACAGACCAGGCTTTGTGCCTTAGAAATGTTTAGTTGGATTCGGCCGAGTATTTTGTTGTTCGGCTTTTACTTGATTCAGTTAATCTTAATTCATCGTAGAGCGTAACTCGGCTCTTCGTTGAGCGTGAGTTGTTACCATGGACCATGCTTTCAAGTAACGATACTTGGCACAAATTCCACCAAGCTATACCACTTGGCGCCTTACTCCAACCGAAGGGCCGAGTTTGCAGGCTAGGGTGTAGGTTAAGACCTGTAACCTGTTCTTGCTCAATTGTCGAGCGAAAATATGTACAACACATATGAAAAAGAACACAATTCATAGGGAAAAGGTGATTTCAATAATACTTTAGAGAATTGCGATTACATTCAAAAGCTATTTAGATCATTACATCACTGATAGTATTTCTTCAAGTTGGCAACATTCCAAGGACGAGGAATGGGCTTGCCTGCTAGGTCAGTCAGGTAGTAAACTCCGTTGCCTAAGGCAGAGGTAACTCTGTATAGGGCTGAGCAAGGAATCCATGAAATCCGTAATCCAATCCCGTCCAGTCCAATCCGATAGGTTTGGATTGGTTTTTTGAATCCGCAGTTCGATTCCAGATTGAAGAATTAAATATCCGTAGTCCATGGATTGGTTCCGGATTGAATCCCACGGTTCCGGATTGGAACCGATTCGGACCGTATACAAATAGTCTATATTTTTATTATACATCATCCCCCATAGTATCTTCTCTTATTTTATATAAAATCTAAACTCAAACCTAAAACTATATAATATCTTCTTTTATTACTTTTGTTTGTTAGTTTTTAGTTTTAATTTGTAATGGTTTAAATACTTATGGTGAAACCAATTTTCTTCTAGTTGTTTAAATTCTAGAATAGTATGTCGCTATTATAGAAAAACATGTTGCTATTGTGGAACTAATATAGCGCTATGTTTATATTTTTATGAAATTAAAGTGTTATATATATATATATATATATTTTTGTTATTTAATTATGTGAATCCGTGGTCCTAAACCGATCCAATCCGTATTTAAATGGATTGGTTCGGATTGGTTCCATGATTTAAACGGATTGGATTGGTTCCAATTTTTTAGGAATCGTAGATAACGGATTGGTCCTGGTTTTACTCAAATCCGATCCAATCCGGACAATGCTCACCTCTAACTCTGTAAGGCCCTTCGCAGTTAGGGCCGAGCTTTCCTTCACCACGGACCTTCTTATGATCCATGATCTTCCTTAGCACCAGATCTCCAGGTAGAAATTGGCGAATTAGTACATTTTTATTGAAACTTCTAGTAAGTTGTTGCTGGTATGATGCCAGACGAATGAGCGCGGCCTCTCTGCGCTCCTCTGTCAGGTCAAGAGCTTGGGCGATAGCCTCATCATTATTTGTTGGTTCAAAGATTTCAGACCGAATAGTGGGAAGGTCGACCTCCAAGGGGATGATGGCCTTCCATAAGTGAGAGAGTAAGGCGTCTCCCCTGTCGATCGCCGTGGTGTTGTTCTGTACGCCCATAAAACGTTTGACAGTTCTTCCACCTATTTGTCTTTGGCCTTCTCCAGCCGCTTCTTCATCCCATTGACGACCATCTTGTTAGACGCTTTAGCTTGACCATTGCCTTGAGGGTAGACTGGAGTAGAATTTCGGAACTCAATTTTTAAGTCAGAACAGAACTTCCTGAAAATCTTCCCATCAAACTGGGTGTCATTGTCAAATAGTAGGGCCCTTGGGATGCCGAACCGAGTAATGACGCTCCTCCAAATGAACCTTTTCATGTCAGCTTCCTTTATGCTTGCTATGGCTTCAATCTCCACCCACTTAGTGAAATAGTTAGTAGCAGCAATGAAGAACCTTTTGTTAGCAGTACCCCTTGCTAGAGGTCCAATGATGTCTAGACCCCATTGTGCAAATGGCCATGGACTGGTGAGGGGAGTTAAGTTCTTGGCTGGTTGATGAATGAGTGGGGCAAACCTTTGGCACTTGTTGCATTTTTAAACATACTGTTGGGCATCTTTCTGTATACATGGCCACCAGTACCCATGAGTGAAGGCTCGGTGTGCCAAGGGCCGACCTCCAGTGTGACTGCCACAGATCCCCTCGTGGATTTCGTAAAGAAAGTTCTCCACAAGATAGGAGTGAACACAAAGAAGATACGGGCCAAGGTAAGACTTTTTATAGAGCTTGCCCGAAGGTGAGACCCAAAATCGCGCAGCTCGGTGCCTTGTTTTATGTGCTTCTTTCTTGTTATCTGGAAGGGCACCATTTTTTAAGAAGGCAAGGAGTGGGTCTATCCAGCTCGGACCGAGGTCAGTACAGATGACCGAGCTGGGTGGATCGACAGTCGGTTGAGGAACAAATTCAACCCATATCTTGCGACTATTTCTGGAGTCCACCGAAGAGCCAAGACATGCTAAAGCATCGGCGTGGCTATTTCCATCACGGCCAATTTTCACAACCTTGATAGCTTGAAATTTGCAGATTAGGTGCTTAGCTTGTTTTGCATAGGATATCATCTGGTCATCGCGAGTTTCGTATACTCCAGTCAATTGGTTCACCACAAGTTGGGAGTCGCTATAAACGAGCAACTCCTCTGCATTAAAGTGTTCAGCGCTGTGTAGACCAGCTAACAGAGCCTCGTACTCTGCTTCGTTGTTGGAAGCCTTCCATTCCAGTCTAATGGTTTGCTCCCAAACAAACCCCTCTGGTGAAATAAGGACCATTCCCTCTCCAAAACCCTTTTGGTTGGGAGATCCATCAACGAACAGTTGCCAAACGTCTCCAATGAAAAGTTTCCATGCCTCGGCGGGAGTTTGATGAGTGTTGTGGATTCCGGTTACTAAGGCCGAGCTCCCTTCGGAGAAGCTAGTCGGTCTTGGAGTGAATTCAGCTACGAAGTCTGCTAACACTTGAGCTTTGATAGTAATCCGTGGCTGGAATTTAATGTCAAACTCCCCCAATTCTACTGCCCACTTTGCTGTCCGGCCTGAGAAATCAGCTCGGTTGAGCACAGACTTTAGAGGGTACTCTGTGAGGACATTGATAGTGTGTCCTTGGAAGTAGTGAGCAAGCTTCCTGGAAGCTATCAGTAGGGCGTATGCCAGTTTCTCTAGAGGTAGGTATCTAGTTTCGACATCCAAGAGGGTTTTGCTAATGTAGTACACTGGCCTTTGTTTCTTCCCTTCCTCTGTAATCAAGGCTGCACTCACAGCGTGATTGGAGACAGCTAAGTAAAGAAAGAGCTCTTCATTGGGGATTGGAGTAGACAAAAGGGGAGGGGAAAAAAGATACTTCTTCAACTCTGCGAGTGCTTCGGAGCACCTGTCACCCTATTTGAAGTCTGCCTTCTTTCTTAGGAGTTGGAAGAAGGGTCTCATTCCGGAAGACCGACTAATGAAACGATTCAATGCTGCAGCCATACCAGCGAGCTTTTAGAGTTCCCTAGCCTTTGTAGGTGCCTCAATGTCTTAGAGGGCTTTGATCTGGTCGGGATTGACTTCGATACCTTGCCTAGTCACCATATATCCCAAGAACTTCCCTGAACCTACCCCGAATGCACATTTCGAGGCGTTCAAGCAAAGCTTGTGGGTCTTCTGGATTTGGAACACTTCCTCCAAGTCTCTCAGATGATGTTCAGCCAATTTACTTTTTACCACCATGTCATTTATATAGGCCTCCATAGCCTTGCCTAGTTGGTCCTTGAACATTTTAGTGACCATACGTTGATAGGTCGCACCGGCATTTTTCAGGCCGAAAGGCATCACTTTGTAGCAGTAGGTGCCCCTTGGGCTAATGAATGTTGTCTTCTCCTGGTCAGGGCCAAATAGGGGGATTTGATGATAGCCACTGTAGGCATCTAGGAAGCTCATCTGTTCATGTCCGGCAGTTGCATCTACCAGTTGGTTTATCCGTGCAAGAGAAAAGCTATCCTTAGGACAAGCTTTGTTGAGGCTGGTGAAGTCGACGCACACCCTCCATTTTCTGTTCTTTTTCTTCACCACGACGGTGTTAGACAACCATTTCGGATATTGTATCTCCCATATAACCCCTGCCACCAGAAGCTTGTTTACCTCTTGGATGACCGCTTCTGTATGTTCTGCGGATGATCGTCTGCTCTTTTGGACTACGGGCCGAGCTGCTGGTTGGACATTGAGTTGGTGACATGCAAAGGCTGGGTCCAACCCAGGAGTCTCGTAAGCAGACCAGGCAAATACTTCTATATTCTTACGGAGGAGAGTTAGCAACTGCTCTTTCTCTCCGGCGAGAAGCGAAGTGCCGAGTA